CACGGTGCATTCAGGTGCTCCTCTGGTTGGTCCCACTTCCCGAGCTGTGAAGTCGTTCTTCTGACTTGTGTGCGTTTATGAGCTCTGGAGTCAACATGGCCGCTGCTACAAAGATGTATAAACAACACGCAGACATCTAGTTCACTTCAGCGTCGCGCTGAAACGCGCTCTGTAGAGCCGTTTGTCCCTCCGGGCTACTGTAGAAACATGGCGACGGCCGTGTAAGAAGCCCCGCGTGTGTGTAGATAGAAATGATTCATTCTAAAAAGGTAATAAAAACATATTACACAGGTATGGATATTATATTACATGTCTGTCAATAGATCCTCTGAATATCATACACTGAACCTTGAAGCTTTGTGCGTGTTTATTAGCTGATCTAGCTTCTCCAACCATGTGTTTACACATACGGTAATAATAACAGTCATTCCTCTTGGGGGAGGAAATTTGTCGTCAGCTTAATTGACTAATAAAAAAGAATCTTTAGATTAATCGATTTGAAAAATAATTGTTAGGTGCAGCCCTAAATGTTACTCACTGAAAAGCAGCAGGCAAGCTGACCCCTAAAATCCACCGACTACACTGCGCCGCGGTGGCCGGAGCTAATCACGGCCATTATAGCCACCAGACGCGGCCGCAGCGCGTCCCTGAAGCGGCGCTCCGCAGAGAACAGGTAGCAGGTCTAGCCGCGTCACGCAGCACAGAGCAGATCAAACCAGGCAGGACGTCAGACACAGAACGGCAGAGAGAATCCAGTAAATTTTCAAAAGAAAACACCCCGTGGAGACTCCCGGTCATAAAAGAATAAACACGGTTAAAACAAATGAAATCATTTAACTACGTAGCGAGTGAATCACAGTAGAAGCACAAAATGCAAACACTGATGACCAAATTAACAAAATCTAAAACACATCAGCCAATTCAGGCACAACGCTCCGATTCTGAAACTCTCCCTGTGAGAAATGCAGCCTGAAGTTGAAGAAACGCGGTCACAGAGCTGTGAAGAAGCAGCGTTTCCCAAACATTCATTTATTTGCGGCGGCCCGTATTTGATTGCAGAGCGCCGTAGCGCATCCTCTCGCTCATCCCTCTCTTTCTCGCTCTCTCCCATGAACACTGCGGCACAAATCTGCCCAACACGTCGCTGTCAAAGTCGGAGACCCCCCCCCCCCCCTTTAGAAGTTATTAGCAGGCAGGTAAGGAGCCTAGGAGGCAGGAGGTAAGGAGAAGCTAATGTGAGAATACAGCCGGGTTATCGAGGCCAACACGCTGTGTATAGCTGGTAGTGTATCGACTGCATGAAAGGTACGGCGCCGGTGTTGATCTGCCTCTGAGCCGGGAGGAAAGCCACAGCTGCATGATGGCGTTCAGCGCCGATCGTGGGCTCTCTGTTTGAAAGAGGTTGTGTTTCGGATTATGCTCAATAGTTCTAAGCTAAAACCTGACGGACGGGTATCTCAGAGAACCGGGTCCTGAATGATGTGAAATCAGCTCCTGAAACGCAGTAATACGTGTTGTTGTTGTTGTTGACTAATCTGATCTGTCGTGGAATGTTACAGCTCAGATTATCATACTGAGCGGTCACGGCGCTGATTACAGAGGAAACCTCGGGACTGTTCCCAGATGGCAGAACGTCCGTTCTGACACACTAATGAAAAGCAAACAGATGCTCAGAGCAGAAAACAAACCAGAGGAGGAGGAGGAGGAGGAGGAAGCAGAGGTGCCTACCTTAGTACCAACTGTTAAATCTTGGTGGACACTGCTGTGAAAAAAAGACAGCGTGTTAGAAGCAGCAGGGAGAGAAACTCAACACAACAAGCAAACAGAGGTTAACACGGGGTTAAAGAGACGCCGCCTGCAGACACCGGGGAGGGAGCAGAGACCCAGCAGAGAGGAGAAACACCTACACATAACTTTTATTATCAATAATTCATCTGGATCCACCACTTTCTGAGCTGAATCCTGCCGCGATGCGTTCGCAGTCATCACGTCTGGCTGTGTTTTACCGAGCGGTTTTAACTCGAGCGCTGAAGGCTGAACATTCTGCACATTAACCAGCTGATCCCAGATTAAAGTGTCGAGCATGTTTCCCAGTGACGTCCTCAAACGTCTAGTTTTTTTTCTGAGCTCCGACTCGGTCCGGACCTGGCCCCGGCCCCGGCCCCTGACTCGGTCCGGACCTGGCCCCAGACAGACTGGCCCCGGACAGACTGGACCATGCTGCAGGTTACTGAGCTGCGTGGAGAGGATCAGAAACCCAGATAATGAGCCTCTTGGCAGGCGCTCATTAGTTCTGGAGGAGTAACCCGGATCTGTTCGGGCCGTTTGAGGATGTCAGGAGATCTCTGAGAAACACGACGCAGAGGATTCACCTGAAACTGGTACATTAATCCATGAACATTCAAAAGCTCTCGCTGTGTTTTGGGTGAAAAAATATTACATCAGCAGTTTTGAACAAACACTTGATGAAATGAAGGATTTGACACAACGCGGCACATTCCCACTTCCTGTGGAGACAGGAAGCTCAAAGACAAAACACTGCAGCTGAAAATGGTCAGGATAAACAAACATGGAGGAGACCGGATAGCACTGAACAGGAGGACTCAGACCAGGCAGGTTAAAACCAGGAGCTCAAACCAGAGAGAGAAGTCTGTTCATTAGTCCAGCAGCTCCAGCCCTGATGCATGTCACAGGGTGACCAGACGTCCCCGCATCCGGGGACTGTCCCCGCATCCGGGGACTGTCCCCGTCTGGAGCTCACTCTGACATCACTCTGTGTGTTGCTATCGGTGCATGTGTGTAAAAAATACCAACAGTGAAAACATCCAGTTTCCTCTCGCGGGATTAAATAAAGCACATCTTCTTCTTCTGGGGATTTTACCGCCATTCTGTCTTGAAACGTTTAACTTAAATCAAGAGACAGCTGGTGAGTGTTGTGTTCAACATTACCCGGCAGTTTTGTGCGGCTATTGAGGGGCGCCATCTGCAAAACGCAGGACAGGGGCCAAAAGTGGGTTGAGCGGGTACCTGAGGTGGAAAAGGAGCTTATTTATTGGATTTCACCCGTTTCTCCAATGCCAGACTGATCTTGGGACACTAGGTGGTTCAGATCAGGACAGTTTAGCTCTTCTGCAAGTAGGTTAGAAATGATACTGTCGACTGCATGTACTTTAAGTATTTGTTGTAGTAATCTAGACAATATGTCAGTACTTTAAATACATGTCTACTATTTGCCTGGTGTCTGGGCCCCCGTATACAAGCTTCAGATAGATTTCCAGGGTGTCTCTTTTCACGTATATAAAATGCTCTGTATTTATGATTGAGCAACAACAAAACTGAACATTCCTTCATTTCTGTTTGCATACGTCACGTCTTTGTCATGTTCACGGACTGAGAGACTCCCGGGGTGACGCTGGTAATTGTGTATCAACTCATTATTAATTGAACACGCACCAGCCGGGCGCCGTCTCTTCTTTCTTTGTAAAACAACTTCTTTTTAAGGAAACTTACAGGGAATTACCGTAAAATAAAGCAAACCCAAATAAGGAAATAAGCCAAGGAAGTCCCAAACCACACAGAAGGACAGCACATGTTGTCTCATGTGAAAATGAAGAGTTGGACAGTCTGAGGGAACACGCAAATGAAAAACCGGCTGGTCAGGCTGCATCTGATGTGACTGTGCAGACAGGGAAGCAGCTGGAAGAGGACCCCTCAGGGCCAGAATGAGCCCTGACAAAGCACAAATATTCACAGCAGGAACTCCGTCTCAGAGGATCCAGCTCCTGACTGCAGCCAACACCATGTCCACTATATTTAAAGTTAGCAGTTATAGAGAACAGCAGACACAAGCTCACTGCCTCCAGAGGTGAGGTAAAACAAAAAACATGTTTACTGTCTGCAAATATATCAGGTTTACTGTAATCAAGAGAAAACAAACATGTTTGATTCTCCTTATTAGCTTTAACCTGGACAGAAACAGAACAGAAAACAGCTGCAGGACAAACTGGTTGGCGGCTCATGTTTCCTCCCTTTGTCTTTCAGTGACCCGCAGCATCCAGTATTTAAATTGCAGCTACATTCAGCTTGAAAGAAATCTGTATTACATCTTTAATGTGCACCAGAAGACCATTAAGCCGAACTCCATGTTAAATACCGTCATTTTTAAACTCCCTTTCAAAAGCACAAACCTGTCAGAACAAGACTCTCTTACACCGTAAACACCCGGAACAGCTGTTCAGTCCGGCACAACGCGAAGCTGCATTCATTTTAACAAACTGGTTTCACAAGTAACTTCTGGCCAAAAACGGTAAAAACACCGAGCTGCTACGTTATGATCAGGCCTCCAGTCTGAGCTGTGCAGTTGAAGCCTCCAACAGGTGAGCGCTGGTTACTTCCCCAGCAGGTAAAACTGAACTCCACCTTAAATACCGTCAGTTTTAAGTTCTTTTCCAAATCCTCAAAAGCACAAACCCTTCAGAACATGAGTTTTACACTTTACACGACTCGGACGGGACCCTCCTTCAAGTCGGCACACATGCAGCTCACGAAGCTACATCACTTTTCACTAAACTTTTACAAGTGAGCCTGTCGGGACGAACACACCGCGGTGGGCGTGAGAGCGCCGCAAAGATGGACCGGGAGTTAAGTGCGTCGCTCGCTGATTCTTATTCTTATTCACATCTCAAATAAAAGATTACACGTGTTATAAATAACGACCGTTCGCAGATAAACGAGTAAATTGAACTACCAGGTTTAGTTAATGGAGTTCCGTCCGCGGAGAATGGCCCGTTCCGAGGCTCACACCGCAGCTAGCTCGGCTAGCTTAGCTTCCTGCTGCTACCACAAATACAACTTTACCCACAGCTAAGCTAACAACAACACCGCCGGCTGCTCGCGGGAAACACATTATCTGTGGTCTTTAAACGTTGTTCGCGCTCTCGGGTGCGAGTAAAACCGCCGGAAGCTGAAGTGAATGTCAGAAAGTGGCAGAGTTAACTCACCCGTCCATTGCACAACACGGAACTACGGAGCAACAGGTTCCAGCCAGCGGACAGCGGGACACCTCCGGGGCCACAAGCCGACAAAATGGCGCCCGCCGGGACGGGGCGCTCTGATTGGACAGTTGGGAATATTTGTAGGCGTTCCGGAGCGGATCCGGCTGCTGATTGGCCGGTTGGACAGGCAGGGCAACAACAAAGAGCTGAGAGCGCAGAGATCAAAGATCGTCTCTGAGGACGAGACCACGGTTCTCTCTGGGCGTCGTCCAGTCCGGGTCCAGACCGGGTCCAGTCCGGGTCCAGACCGGGTCCAGACCGGGTCCGGGTCTGCAACCTGGTTACCATGACAGCGCTCATATTAAAGCAAACACTGGGTGGATTCAGGTGCAGTTTTTGAAACTCTATAAATAAACCCGTTCTTTTAATAAATTTGGAAAGTTACCCAACACACCATATATTTCTGAATTCCTCTAGATGTCTACTTTCCTAACGTGAAGAAATTAAGTGTGTGCAATATTTTGCTTGGTCCACCATTTTGTTGTAGCTGACACAAAACTGATTTTCACTAACATGTTTGGTTAATTGGGACACAGTTTTCTTAGGGCCTCAACTTACAATAGCTGTACTTCAAAAGGTATTTTAAACTCTTTTCTTAACCATAAATGTAATTAAATTAAAAATATGTCTACGGTTACTTGATATTATGTATTAACCTAATATTTGCTGTGAGAGCTTAATTTATAATTACATCAACAAATGTCAACAGACAGTTGATGAGGATGTTAAAATGATTAAAGACTCCAACACCTCGTCAGAAGTGTTTATTTTATTCATTTATCTGTTTCTTGGTGCCATTCTATTCCGCATCAGACCTTAAATCCATCATGAATAAGAATAAAACCCTAGATTAAACAAAGTGAGTAGCAAACGCCTGCATGCATCAGCGTTGCTGCTGGATTAGACTTTTTATTTATTAATTGTTAGTTAGAGCACCACATGACACATTTGCTTTCTTGTTTGTCATTTTCAGGAGATATTTAGAATGGGCTAATTTGACCGAATGATGAAGGCCTTCTACACGCAATTTGGGGGATTAGCATCATTACTCAAAATTTGCCAAACATCTGATTAAATTTTGTCTCCTACTGTCCTAAATGTCAGGACATCATATCACAGCTGCAGGTAAAGAAAGCAGCAAACAATAACAACGGAAAAGAAGTTAACTCAAACTTTAATTTAATAAAAATAATAAAACATACATAAACAGAAAGAATACTTGTTTAAGGTATCTAAAAACTAAAACAATGGATTTAGCTGTAAGTACCACAGAAAGTCCTTCAGCCTCAGTTTGAACATCCCGGCCGACCGGAGGGAGCTCAGTTAGAGTCTCTGGCACCAGCAAGGCCTCATCTGTAGTTAGAAGAACTTTAAGATGAAGTCTAATGAACACAGAACAGGATCTCCACAGCGGGGGGGGGGGGGGGGGGGGGGTCCTTTCTCTGGACTTCAGCACTTTCCTGTGAACTCAAACCAGTTCAGTCAGATGGCTTTCAGACGACACAACTCTCCTCTGACTGAAGGCTTCAGGGGTCAGCAGGTGAGGTCGGCTGGTTTAGACTGCTGATGTTGGGGATTTAACCTGTGACTGCTACAGTGCAGTGGACAGTGTGGACAGTGGACAGTGTGGACAGTGTGAGCAGCAGGCAGGTTTCTGTCTGTCTGCTGGACTCGGTAACACTGGTGTCGTGTAACACGATAAATAATTCCTCCACATGCTGCTTTCCAGGAGATTACTTTGTGTGTTGGAACATGATCCAGCTGCTCACACGTGAATAATTCAACACACACTAACCATTAGCTTGCTCTTCAGAATAAATTCTTTCTTTAACTCTTTATATTAAATTAAAGGACATTTGCACAAATTGTAATTATATATATAAATTTTCTATAGTACCTGCGACCCTGTACGCAGGATAAGCGGTTGACGATGGATGGATTGATTTTCTCCAGCAGATAATAGAAATTATAATTTGATTTAGTTGACATAGTTTCTCTAACAGTGCACACTGCAACTGCACCGGATTCAAGATTAGATATATAATTATTAATAATTATAAACACACATAAATATTTAATACTTAAAGTATATATATATTTATTATTATTTTCCTGGCCTGCGGGGGGCGGTGTCGAGCTTTCGCCCAATTAAACTGCAGCTGACAAGAAGAAAAAGACAGGAAACGAAGCGACACGCTATTGGTCAGCTTCTCTCCGGCAGCGCTTCCTATTGGCCGGTTGAGTTGCCCCGCCACTGGTGTGGAAACAGCGCCATAATCAAACAGCGTCCAACTTTTGTTCTCTGCGGTTTGTTTGCGGTCAAATTTGCGCACATTTACATCCAGAGAAACGAAAAGTAAACTCGCTTCATAAAGTGTGTGATTTAATTACGCGTCTAGTTATCGCCCGAGAGACTCGGCGGGGCGGCCCGTATGCTAAGCTAACGACGCTAACACAGGCAGCAGATGCGGTCCGAGCAGGAAGCTAACGTGGCTAACGCTAGCTGAACGCACCGCGGTGTTCTCAGTGAGCAGTGACCGCTCATAGTGCCTCTCTGTCGGCCACAGCAGGGATGAGCTGCCCGGTGAACCTCCAGGCGATGCCGTCCGGTGTGTTTGAAGCGGTTTTCACTCCGGAGAACGTGAGAGGAAGGTGAGTTAATGTCAGGTGAACTTCACCTGCGCACTCATGGAGTTCACTGTGTGTGTTTTAAGTCGCAACGGACATCATTTTATGTCGCAAAAGTTTGTCTTTGTGAAACTTTGACGGTTCTTTTAACACAACAATCACTATTGTGGTCAAACAAGTGTTTATAGCGTAATCAAGTCTGACTTTTACGTGATTACAGCCAATAACAGAAGCCTGTTGTTGCAGACAGATGATGTGTTTGGTCTAATATCCTTGTTTACATTTAACAGACTGTAGTCTATCATTAACAGGACTTACTGCTGAGTTAGATATAAAATAAAGACATGATCTCTTTTGCAATTATCCTTATGACTCTACATTATTTAACTTGCTGTGTACCAACCAGTCATTTTAACCTGTTAAAATGACTGGTTGAGGCTGCAGTCACTTGCCAGGAAGTGACTGCAGCCTCTACTGACTGACTGAAAGACAGTTTCTGCCTCAAAGTCACTTTCAGAAGAGTTATGTTTGACAGATTATGAAACCGAAATTGTCCCCTGTTTTTATTTCACATGTAATAACATTATATTTTTTAATGACATACTGACTACCAAAGCAAAAATGTCCCCGGTTTTCATTTCAGAAACCTGCTCACCTTAAATTAAAGAGTCAGGTGTTGTGTTTGTTTGTCCTGCAGGTGTTTTCTCTGTAAATCTGTTCTGCATTGCTTCAGGTTTATATTTATATTTTTGTATATTTTGTTATATTTTCTACTAACCTACTTTCTATTATTATTCATACCTTATACCTTGATATGCAAGTGAGCAGATTCAGGTTTTGGTCAGAGTAAAGACACAAACAGTGCTACATCAGGAAGTGTTTATTTAGGTTAAAACAGTGAATTAAAAAGAGCACAGGAGAGAAAACTCGAGTCTGTGTGGACTCGATGTATTTTAATGTATTTTATCCTGTGTACCATAAGACTTCTAGGTGTAATTTACACCGGGGACGCTGTGGACATGTCCACCACTTTCTGAAATGACTGATTTGGTCCCTTTTTTAAAAGCATTATTTGTTAGAAATGTTCTGAAAGTTTTTTTTGCACAATAAGAAAAAAATGCAACACAATTTAAATAAAGAAGAAACTAATGTGCATTGTCCAAAAAAAACAAGCTGCTGATTCTAAAAGGACCCAAACTGCACCGATCAGTAACTTTAACCAAATCTGGACACAATTTCTTCTTGTGCAAGTTTCTCTCCCTGTGAACATGACTGTTGAGTCGGTTTGTGAAGTTAAAAAAGTTTGCAGCATTCAAACAACAAGGCAGTTTAATTTAACATCTAAAGATGACGTAGATTTAATATCTTCAGCTAACAGTGTTGACCTTACTCTTTAGTTGTTTCTGTTGTCATGTTTGTCTCCGCGCTGACTGACACGATGCGTTCTGTTCAGTAGATGTGGTTTTGCTGTTGTTCGATTGAAACAAGCTGCTGATTACTGCATTAAATTCTGTTAAAGTCACCTGCTACCCTAACTTTCCCTTTATATAAATAAAATAAATCCACCATAAATTGATGCAGAACATTTTTCCAGACTGCGGGAAATTAAGTGTTTAATGGTCAAAATGTTCTGGGGGGCCCTGACACCGCCAACTCCTAAATATATTTCTTTAGAATAGTGTTAAAACATCTTCTTGTCGTCTTCTTGTGATCCAATATCATGTTTGGTCTCGTGTGCTTACGAGTGTATCGTCACGCCCCTGATCTGAGCCTCCCATGAGAGTCTCCCACCGCTTGGAGGGCGGCATTCAGGTGTTGCAGCAGCAGAACGACAGAAATAAGTACAGAGAAAGGTGAGAGAGACATAATTAGAAGTATGTAAAATAAGAATAGGAGCCATTAAACTCAAACAGAACATGTACCCATGGTGTACGATGTTGTACTAGTCGACGGGAGTGTTGGACCAAGTGATCGGTTGCGTTCTCTGCAGCAGAACCCAAAGTATGTTTCTGTTTCATTCATTAATAAAGCTTCATCTGAAACAACACGTTACTGCAGAGAGAACATGTAGATTAGACTGGACTCTGCAGGTCTAATGGATTATCCAGGACCTTTCTGTGTTTTAATATCAGTATTATGTTTGTCCTAATCTTTAAATATCAGCACCAGTCGATATTTAGACACCGTTATCATCAGGATTATATAGATATATACTGAGTTCCAGCTTCTGAACTGTGAGAATTTTCTGCTTTTCTTCCGCGACAGTGACGCAAACTTCATTGTGAGAAAACGACCTCCTGAACCAGCGTTACTTTATTCCCATCCTACGTGGGGGGGGGGGGGTATTTCAAATACAAGAACTGTTGTGGAAATCTCTCTGAGGACTTCTCGTCCACGTTGGTCAGAAGCTGAGATTCAAGTATCTTCAGGACTTTGGGGGCGTTGGTTGGACAAAACAAAAAAGTGTGATGGGCGTAATTAGTACTTGACATTTTATAGATCCAGTTGTGAATGAGTCGATCAATAAATGAACCTCATGTGTTGATAGTAAGAGTAAGACGAGAATCTGCTTCATTATCTCTTCTGTTGAACAGGAGCTCGATGAACTCGCTCACTCCGCTGAGTTTCCCCAAGTCCAGATCAGCTCTGTGGGACGGCAGCCCTGCAGGAGAGAA